CAAAATTGATCGACGCAATGAACTTGAACCCGATGATGGAGACCATGAGAACCGAAAGCACGAGTAAGATATACTCCGAGAACAAGCACTGAGGCGAATTTCGATTGTCGACTGCACCAATCAAGAAAAGATTCCGAAGACACGTCCTCTGCATCTCAAGCGTTGTGGAATCGAGGCCAAGACCATCGTTAAACTGCTTGGTGAAATCCTGCCCGGAGTTAACCTTGAACAGATCGACAATGGTAGAGCTCATGAATTGGGTGTCCACGCTTCCACCCGCTTGGGTACCCGTGGGCGTGATCACGGCAGGCGGATAGTTGATGTACGTCGTCAAATCGTAAATCAACCCATCGAGAATCCCGAGCGATGATCCGCTATTGGCCATATCTTGGATCTCCGAAGGGGTATATCCGACGTACCCAACGCGATTGTTCCACCTCATGACGGTCATGCTCTCGAAGTACCAGTCTGGACGAGAGTCATTGGTAAATGCGCGGAAGTCGTGGTACTGAGCGTTAGGGTCGGTGTTGTTGGCGGAGTTGAGTGTCACCCAAGGGCTCACAGTCCCCGAGACACCGTTACATAAGGCGCTCACCTGTGTCTCTATGTCAGAGAGGAGACCACACTACGACATACGACTTCACGCACCTGCACAGGGAAAATCGCATCCGCAGCCATGCCACCATACTGCAGGACCGACTTAGTCGGCACAACACTGACGACCCGTTGATGTGTCGCCGCCACTGCCGTCAAATCAAATACTTCCCCCCGAATCGACGTATAGACGTTGTTCGGATTACTCTGGTAAGAATGTGAGGCAAGCTCAGACGTGCTGAACACATGCTGGGTAGGACAAATGATCAACCCCAACACGGCAATCACGAATATCGCACAGCCGCATATAAGCCAGATGATCATGTTTAAAGCCAACTTTTCCCTCCATGCTTGCCGCACGTCTTCGCGCTTCATGCGTCCAAACCACTTCAGGAAGGGAGAGGGAATCCACCAGGTTAACATCCAGCACAGGAGAACCCATCGTCTGCGCGCGGACGTCTCCTTGACAATTTCAGTGGTCTCGCCCTCCAAGGTCTCCCCAGGTAGCGTCTCTTTCACCATCAATCCTTCCTTATCCACGTTTTGGAACATGTTCCGAGAGGGCGCATACGACTCAGTGCCATAGTTCGAATTTGAATCGTCCCGATCACTTGTCAACCGACTTCTGCCATCGAACTCGTCGCTCCGCACCGTCTTGGCCTCGTCATACTCCTCATCGTATTCTCTATGGAAAGACGAGCCTTGACCGACGAGTGGGGCCTGATCGCCGTACGTATTCGCGTACGTAGATTCGTCGACTCCGACGGCAGAGGGAGTCAAATAGGGGGCGTAGGGATCGCCACTAGGTCGGACATCGAGACCAGCTTCGACCTCAGCCTCGCGCATCCGGTTACGTTTCTGTTCCTCAACATCAGCAGCGCGTAGATAATCTTCCATTGCATGGAAGGCGGCTTGTGAGAGGAAGACCTGCGCGTGTACAGTGAGCTTGCCTTAGGGAGGAAGTGGGAGGATCTTACCTTGTGCTGCCCCAAAACTACATCAGTGTCCCCAAGGCCCAAAGCCGCTCTCATCCTTTCAATTTGTTCTACCGGGGTCCCATCTCCGTCACCAAGAAGGACCTTGCCCATCGGATCCCTATACCGCTGACAGAATTCCTCTGGAGTCATGCCAACCTCAAACACGCACGCATTCCGCTTGGCAACCTCGACCAACCCCGCACTGCGTACCTGTCCCTTGACTGACCGTCCCTCGAGCTGGTTCGGGAGCTGGGAGTCATTGGGGTTGATACAGAACACGAACCAGTTTTGTGTGTCTCCCAAAGTATTGAAGAGCGTGTCGAGGGCGGCGCAGAATTCGCCCGCGACGCAGGGTGTACCAGTGTTTTGGGACGTAGTGACGTCTTCGTCCTCGCGCTCCTCTTCAATGATAGTGGGAGTCGTACCTGCGGCGGTATTGTCGCGCGGCATACGACGAACGGTATTTTTCCGTCTTGTGGAGGGCGCCCGCATAGGTTTTACGGGTTGCTGGGCAGCAACTATCATGTCCTCACTTTTTGGATGAGCCTGTGTGGCGATGGCTTTTGCTGAAAAGAGACCTTTGACGAAGGGATTGATGGACCCTGCTCCTTCCCCCCCATCCACAACGCCAGCGCCAGCTGCGGTGCCGCGAAGAAGAGCTACAAAATCAGGGTTGAGGGCATCAAGGTTGCGCTCTAAAAACGCCTCCGAGGAATATGTTACCGGTCCGTTGAAATGGCAAATTGTGAACGTGGGGAAACCGGACCTATCCAAGCCACCTCCCAGCTTGAAGGAAGAATGGTTGCCCCATCGTTTGGCGAACGCTTCCACCATGGTGTGATCCGTCTTCTTGTGGGACCGCCTAGCTTGGTCATCCATTATATGGATGAGACCACCAGGTTTGTTCTGGAAAAGTCGGACGCATTCTGAGTTATCGAAGTAGGAAATGGGGGGTACATATTTGGATATACCCTCGGATTGGTACTCGTCGACGTGCGATTCGAAGAGACGTTGTTGAATAAAATGGTGTAATCGCTCGTTGGCAAAGTTGATGCAGAACTGGTCGAGTGAATTGGATCTGCCTGTCATGTTCTGTGGACCGGGGAGATCGAATAAGCCGATGAAAGTGTCAAAGTCGTCTCTGCAGAGACGTTGGTTGATGTGCTCGTTGAGCCAAGCGAAAAGGAGGGAGTAGAGTGTTTTGGCGAGGTCGTCTCTATTGTCGGAAGCTCCGTCCGGATCGAGGAAGACGGTGCAGAGTTCCTTCTTGACTAATTTGGTCTTGTAAGACAACGCATTTTCGAGTGCAGAAGGTTGGACGCCAAGAAACTCCGCTACGAGGGCAAGGGTATCGACGTTGCGCACGACTGCAGCGTCGACATCCCTCGAACGGTCGACGGTGAATTCGAGATTGCCGAGGTGGAGGATGGCAGCGATGAGTTGACATGCCTGTGCGACATGTCGTTTGGAGAGACCGATGGTTTTCAATGCCACTTTGAGTTGTTCGAATCGGTGTGCATCGTCATCCCTGACGACATTGGGACGAGCACCTGCGCCACGCTGTCCGAGATACCTATAATGAACCTTTTCTTGCAGATGGAGATGCTGTCTTTCCTCAGAAGATGCGCCTGCGACAAGATAGTAAAAAATGTGGAAGTTGCGTTCGCCTGAAGGAATAGCGGCGACTCTGTTTCTTTCAAGATAGTAATCAAGGGTCTTTATACCACACAGGCGACCTCTCTCGGTGAACTGCAATTCGGTGTACTTTCCAAACCGAGAAGCGTTCGGGTTAAAGAGAGTGCGTGCGTTTCCAAACGTCTCGATGACGAACTCCGCGGCAGGGACTTGGTGTGCGAGCTTTGCGCCTTTCTTTCCGGGATTTGAGACGGAGAGTTCGAGGAAGGTTTTTATGGCGAGACGTCTGTTCTCAGACTTTCCGCTTGCGGTTTCACCACTGGACATTGGTGAGAGGGTGTATTCAGCAAAGAAGGGAAATGCGCACCTGAAAAGAATGGACTGGTCCTGTGCCGTGCGCCGCATGTGGTAATAAGCATTGTTGGCGAGTTGGAATATGTGGGGAGGCAAACGAGATTTTCCAGGAGAGGTGTCCCGATACTCCGCAGCATACTTGTGGAGGACGGAGTCGGCGTTTGAAGAAACGTACTTGTGTGGGTTGAGGACGACGAGGGCAGATGGACCGATGGCGGTGTAGACGGAGTCTGCCATGAAACGTTCACGGAGACATGCGACGATGGCGTCGTCCGTGATGGGAGACAGGGTGGACAGGTCGAGGACGCCCTCGAGTCGCTGGAGACCCATCGCGACGGACGCCGGCCTGTTCATGGCCAGAGGAGAACGAGAGAAGCGAAGGAGAGGGAGAGCAAGCAGTGCCATTTCATCGAGTTACCGGAAGCGCCGTGAAGGCACTTTCCCACGACTTGCTTATGTACTACACAAATATAATTAGCTACTCATGCCCGCATCCTCTTCCCCGCCTTGCCAGTGCAACCGTCCTCTGCCTTCCTCTTCCTCTTCCTCTTCTTCAGCTCACCCCCGTCCATCGTCCCCTCCCCCTTCGTTTCCGCTTGTATCAAGCTATCCCTCGTAATCTCCCTCGCTAGCTGCGGCGGAACACCTCCCCGCGGTGGACACATGTATCCATTGGAATCGGTCCCTGTTGTGTATGGTCGGACGTACCACTCTTGATATGCTGCCCGGGATCGGACTCTTGTGCTGGATGGGACTCGGGCACCCTCTTGCACTGCCTTCCCACCTCGTCTGGGAGCACGACCAGCAGTAGCTTTTGAGTGGGGAGTCAAGGTGGGTTTATGTGGGCTCGCCAACGAAATCCAGCGCGCGTTCCGTCCGGATGGGCTAGACGGGTTCGTTCCCTCCGCTATATTCTCCTCACCTCCCTTGGACAATCCAACGAGGTCACTCTCCACGTTCCCTCGACGCGAAGAAACATACGTCTGGGAGACCTCATCAAACAGTAGCCCAAGACCAATCCTCTCCCCTTCATCACCCTTCTTCCGCTTCTCTCCCATTTGCTCGCTGTAGTCCTCGTCGTTCCCTGGGTACCGGAGTATATCGTCGAAATTTAGTGCAGGTACCTCGTCATCAAAATCCGAGTCGAAGCGACGTTCTTCGACGTTAAAGAAGGACACAGCAGATGAAAAACACGGCGAAAATTCGATGTCCTCGAACGGGAATGGATCATACATCACCGACGATACAGCGTAAGACAAGGCGAGCAAAACACACGAACACGACAAGCGAGTCGAACGATAAGCAGGTCGGTGGACAACGGAGTTGATACCTCAGTGGAAGAAAGGAGAGAGATGTCGGCAGAAGAAGGTAGCATGAAAGTCAGCCGTGCTAGTGCCAGTCTATTCCCATGCTATAATCGCATTGACCCTACTTGCTCAAGGCCTTGTAGTCTAGAGGTACGATACTTGCTTTGGGTGCTCTCAATTGCAAGTGGCCTGGGTTCGATTCCCAGCAAGGCCCTTCTTTTTTCTTCTCAAATACTCTTCATCGCAGATTACATAATCCAATGGCATTGGCATCAGCCATCCTAAGCGGGCCATTACTTATGGACCTGGCTGGTGACCTCTTTGCCAAGTACTCGGTTAGCCTCCGCTTGAGTGCTTGACCACCAATCAGAGAGCACCATTCGTCACTAATTGCAACATAAATGTGAACGTAATTCTACTGTTTTGCAGATTGACTAGTATGTTCATTAGTTGTAGTGCCTTCCGTTGTTCATCCTAGTCGGAGACGTAAGTACCATGTTTACTCGCTCAGACTTGTCATTCAACCACCAACGCCAATCGGCTTTTCCCCACTATGACCGGCCTGGTTCGACGCTTTTTTCTACGTTGGTTCCCGGATTCCAATCAGCGCGTTTGTCTTAGGGTTAACATTTCTGCGCTCAAGCCCAGAACCACGGATGCACCGACGCATCCGGAACTGGACACGAGGCTCCCAAAACACCCTGGGCCCATCCGTGCATTATACATATACCGTTTACATCAATGGCATGATGAGCAGCAAACTCCCGGCTCCCGCGCATCTCTGAAAGATGGCCCACGAAACAGACGATTCGAAAGAGCATCTTGAACCGTGGTTTGATGATGGCAACATCGTCCTTGTAGCAGGAGGGCAATGTTTCAAAGTTTACCGGGGAACCTTGTCGATGCATTCACCGATCTTCAAAGACATGTTTTCATGCCCCCAACCCGCCGGTCAGGGGGAAATGATTGAAGGATGTGCTGTCGTTCAGCTCCAGGATTCCGCCAGCGAAGTTCAACACGTCCTCAGAGCACTATTCTATGGCGAGTGCGTGACCTCGTGTCCCCGTTGACAGTAATCTGAGATCAATCCAGGTACATCGACTCCTCCCGGTCAATACCTATGAGCGTTGCTACAGCACTGCTCCGCTTGGGCAAGAAGTACGAGTTCAAACTACTCTTCGAGTGCGTGTCCAGCAGAGTGAAGGACTGCTATCCTCTGGAACTGCCTGCGAATTCTGGCCCGGAACGCGTCGAAGGAACCCTCACTGGGCATGACCCCCTGGATTTCCAGTTGCTTAATATTATTCGCGAAGTTGGGTTGCCCGTAGTCCTCCCCATTGCACTGTACGCCTGTGCTTTCTCAACAGAAATTGAGAAGCTTCTGGACGGGTAAGACTGGAACGGCGTTCGCTACTCGCTGTCTCCTATCAATCAAAGAGCGTGCATCATCGCGAGAGGTAAGCGCTCGGAACTTTCGAAACGTATGTTCACGAAGTTCTTTTCGAGGGCCGAGGACCGCTATTTCCTGGAGAGTACGACCTGTCTACTGTGCCGCTCACGGTGTTGCGCCACGTCCCTTTCCGCTGACCCCTTTGCTGTGTGGGATCCGGATTGGAGCAGTAGGTTCTGCAAACGTTGTGTCGGAGACTTCAAGTCGCGGTACAACAGGTACAGAAAGGATGCGTTTCTCTACCTACCGTGGATGTTCGACGTGGGATCGAACTGGGATCAGGTCCGAAAAGACGAGACGTCTTTCTGAGTAGCGACGGGCAAGTACTATTTTTCCGGAAACGCCTCTGACTTGATGCCGTCCTCATTTATCTCTTGGTCGCGTTTTGGATGCATACTGCACATACCGAGTTCTACTGCACTTGCATTGTTCAGACTCTTCAACAATGATCTGTTTGTTCTTCGTCAGTCTCAACACTTTGTCGATACGGTTAGACCTTGAAAATCGTTGTAAGATTTGTTTCAGGCGTGTCACTTTGTCCCCCATTGCTAGAGCTCTTGAAGAACGAGCAGTTACCGCCCACCATAGGGTTGTTGTGTAGTTCATTTCTATTGCCAAAACTCCTACTTAGTACTAATCCATGTTTATGTAATTAGATATACAAATGAGCGTGCTTAGTACTACAGAATGCGTAGTCATGTTAATGAGGCGTGGTCGTCAAGAATGTGAATGTATAGAGGTAAAAAAAAAGGGGTAAATCAGAAAGGTCGAAAGAATTGGTATAAACCGCAACCTCGTCCAAAGAAAAATCTGAACGAAATGAACGAAGCATGGTAAATGGAAGAGGGAGAGCGGAAGGGAAGCCTTCACTCTCCAGCCCACTCCCCGCCGCTCGCCAACTTTGCGAAAACTCCCCTGCGATCAACGAGTTCGTCCCAGGTACCCTCCTCAATGGCCACGCCATCCTGCAACACGATGATTCGATCGCACATTTTCATTGCTGGCACTTGATGGGTGATCATGACCGTCGTCCTGCCCTGTTTCGCACTCTTGACGGTCTCGAGTACGGCGGCTTGATTCGACCCATCTAGAGCAGAAGTACATTCATCCAGAACGAGGACTTTGGATGGCCTTGCCAATGCACGCGCGATCTGAATTCGCTGCGCCTGGCCACCAGAAAGATGCGATCCATCCTCGCCAACGAAAGTATCGTATCCCTGAGGCAAGCTCATCACGAATTCGTGGATGTTGGCAGCACGAGCAGCACGCTCGACGTCTGCATCAACCATCGACGCCGTACGCCCGTACGCAATATTCTCTTTGACGCTTGCATCAAACAGGTGCGGTTGTTGACTGACCACGGCGACGTGTTCGCGGAGATGATGTACGTCCGTGTTACACAGTTGAACGTTGCCGAGCGATATCGATCCTGATGTCGGTTCGTATAATCTCTGAAGAAGCGCTGCGACCGTCGACTTGCCACTTCCCGATGCGCCAACCAGCGCAACACATTCACCCTGCTTGACTGTCATCGACAATCCCTTTAACACAGGTTCGTCCACTCGATCTGGGTATGTAAACTCGACGTCTTTGAGAACGAGATCGCCGCCGAGATTCCGAAGTCTTAGCAGCCCGCGTGCCTCGCTCGTCTTATCAGATCGCAGGTGGACAAGTGCATACAGGTCCGTCGTCGCCTGTGCAGACTTCGCAATCTTCTGTGTGAACGCCATAAGCTGGGACCCGATGGTAACCGTAAAAACAACCAAGTTGAGAACTTGGACCATCTGCAAATACGTATAGGTTCCACGAGCGATGAGGACAGCACCGACGTAGAAGAGGAGCGCTTCCGCGAGATAAATCAGTGAGGACGCTACGCCATAAGTGCAGCCTTCAATGAAGGCCCCACGGACACCAGTAGTGAGACATATTGACGCGGCTTTATCAAATTGAGCGTGGAGAATGGGTTCCAGAGACATGGCGCGGATACTACGGATGTTGATCACCGACTGGACGTAGTGACATCAGCACGACAGAAACAAAATCAGGAGAAAACATCGTACCTCATAATAAATCTTCGCAATCTGCTCTCTCGCCCTCTTATTGCGCAATTCACATCTAGCCACCAACCCCGTCTGAATGCTCATCACGCCAACGAACACCGGTCCAATGGCAACACCAACAAGGGTCAACTGCCACCCCCACACCATCGCCCATATCAATCCGAGCCCCATCATCGCCAGTACGACGAGACACTGTCCCAATACAACAGCGACGAGCGCGCGCGCGTCATCGGCGTCTTTGATGAGAGTTTGGGAAAGTACGGAAGGTGAGTGAGAGGGTTCATCAAACCAAGATTTATCTTGGGCGAGAACACGCGTGTAGGCTTTGTTACGGAGCACGTTGATCCATCGTATCGCCGACCTTTCCATAAGAACATATTTTAGACCAAGGAGTAGCCCGTCCAACGCCGCAATTCCCAGTACAAGTCCGCCATAGGAGTTAATGACATTTGCATCGGATGGATCAGCAGAGACCTCAAACATGAGGCGGGAGAGGAGGAACGAGAAAATAGGCGTCATCGCTCCGCTTAAGAAACATGCGAAAAGGCCGGCAAAGAGCAGAGGTTTGCTAGGGATACTAGGCCATATGAGACGGATAGTTTGAAAGAGGCTTGGTGGGGAACTGTAGGACTCGTCACTGGAGTCGACGGTCACAACTTTGGCTTTCCCTTTGGCATCAGATTTAACAATGAGAGAAGATTTTCCGGAGGATGAGGGTGGAAACTGGATAACCTCGGGCGCTTTCCGCTCTTGCCTCTCCGCACGCCGTCCAGCGGCCCGATGCGCAGCACATTGTAAAGCTTCCTTATCTTTCTCAAACTCATCATCGTCTTCGACCATGAATTGGGTGGATAACGAAGAAGGAAATGCAGGTGACGTTGGCGTGAACTGGAGACTTAACCTACTCCGCGCGTCATATGCACGCGGGGGGAAAGTAGGGGAAGGAATGAGGATGGACATACTCGAAGGTCTGCGTATGCGACGTTGTGTGTCTGCGCTTGTGCACAAGTTACTAGCGGGTTGATGAGGGCCGGAGTTGGTCGATGGAATAGAAATCGCATCGGTAGTCCTCGTCAACTCGGCCACAACGTCCAACATCCAGCCGCCGAGTGCCATCGTCACGGGACGCACACCAGCCAGGGTAGGCGCGACACTCCTATGTCTATCCGTTGCTGGATTCCCTTGCTCTTGAGCCTCCTCAGCCTCCGCAAGGATCTCCATAACCTCTTCGTATACAGGTAGACGGGCAGGATCACCATCATCACCCTGCTGGAGCTGTGCGCCGATCTCTTTCACCATCTTCTCCCACTCCCCGCCCGAACCCTCCAAATCACCTCTAAATCCCTGCTCAACGACACGCCCAGCACGCATCACATACACGAAATCTTCAGCGCCAATACTGGACAAATCGTGTGTGATGATGAGGGTCGTTTTTTGGCAGCGTGTGCGCCACGCTCGGAGGGCGGCAGTGGTGAGCAGGCGCGTGGGTGGATCCAGAGCGGACGTGGATTCGTCTGCATGTTGCGGACATCAGCCTGAGCAAACAGATTGAAGTGGGGAAGGGTACGTGCCTAGGATCAGAACTTCAGGGTCGCGAATCCTTGCACGGGCAAGCGCAAGGCGCTGCCTCATGCCTCCACTCAATGTAATTCCATGAGCCTCTTCTCCCTCTACATTTCCAGTCCCTGCTAAAGGTGTATCATA